GCGGGGCTCGATCCCAGGACCCCGGGATCATGACCTGAGCCGAAGGCAGACGCTTAACGACTGAGCCACCCAGGCGCCCCTAAATTTCATCTTTTAAAAGTAGGATCATATGTTTTCAGGTGGTTTTACCTTTTTAACTTGCCATATTTGTTTTTACACGTCTTAGTTTACAAAAATAATATTGTTGTAGAAAAATTAAGCCCAGAATAACCCAAGGAAATTCTCAAAATCTCTTTAATTTCCAGGAGACGTACTGTGTCTATTTACCACCGCATCCATGGTAATGAGCATAAAACCTAGTATACAGTTAGCACTGAAATGTGTGAGTAGGTTAAAAAATACAGAACTTTAAAATACTTGTATTTCCTTGATCCAGAAATTCCAAAATTCTTGGAATTTGTTATCTGTCCCAAGAAAATAAGACACACATCACAATCTAAATATAAAAACATTCTGTTTACTTTTATTTATAAGTAATCTTTTTAAACAAAAAGGCATAAGCAACCTAAATGAATAGAGAAAAGATTAAATAATGGGTTATGCACCCATTAAAATTAAACTTTTGAGGTTAGAACATACAAAATTGTCACTATATAATAATAAGTGGAAAAGAAGGATATAGAAATTAAGTAATAGAATCCCAATTATGTAAAAAAAGAAAAAAAGAAAATAAAGGAAGCATCCACAAATTTTCTTCCCCAAAGAAACTAAACTTTGGGGGGAGTGAAATGTTCTCCATATCTTGGAGTGGTGGCTATATCTTTGTCAAATTTTTCAAAACTTATTGTAAATGGTTTCCTTTTTAAAATAAATATACATGTAAAGAACTGTAACTCCATAAAGTTTATATACAAAAGGAAACTAAAAGATATACTCAAAACATTTGGGGTGATTTTTCTGTACTTTCCAAATTTTGAATAACAGACATAAAAAAGTGGGGGCACACAGACATTGAGGTTATTTCAAAATCCATCCTTTGAAATTATAATAAAATCTTTTAAAAAATAAATTATAGTGAATTTGGTGGATGCCAATATACATTAGATAAATAGCAACCAGAGTACCTATAGCCCAATGCTATACAGGTACCTTAAATATTTAGGGCATGCCTGTTATGCAACTCTGTATTCCACACAAATGTTGTTCTTTAGAGTTCTGTGACATGTAGACCTATATTCTTAGTTAACCCATATGATACTTCTATGAAGAAGGTATGATCCCATTTTAGACATAAGAAAACTGACACTGAGGATGAGGTTAATAAACTTGCCCCAAATCACAGACTTAATAAGTGGTAGAGCTGGGATTCAAATCCAGGTCTGTTGATTCCAAGGCCAATGTTCTGTCCTTTACTGCTACACTTCACTGCTTTCCACAAGAGGCTAACCCACCAAGCCCCTTGTTATCTATAAGTGTGATTAGCACACCTAGTCCTTACTCTGAACTAAACTTGCCCTGAACTAATAAACCTTCCCAGCTACTCTATATTATATACTTACTTTACTTCACAAACTAACAAGAGCCCTCTTAGGCATAGTTATTCAGTAAGTAACAAATCTATATAACATTATCATCCACCCACATTTCTCTACATTTGAAGTCTATCTCTCTCCACTCAATTATAGGACTCATCTACTCTTACTGTTAATGAAAGTCAAGTCTGGAAAATTACTTATTAGATTTCATAGGTAGATTTTTATTTTATTTTTTTATTTTTTTTTAAGATGGTATTTATTTATTTGACAGAGAGAGAGCACAAGCAGGGGGAGCAGCAGGCAGAGGGACAGGGAGAAGCAGGCTCCCCACTGAGCAGAGAGGACCCTGGGATCATGACCCCAGCCGAAGGCAGACACTTAACTGACTGAGCCACCCAGGCACCCCCATAGCTAGCTTTCTAAAATTAAGTATTAACATTGTTGATTATGCATTTTAATGATCTTTTGCGGATAAAATTTGGTAATCCTATGAAAAGATTACCTTTTGAAACAACAATTCCACTTCTAGCAATTTATCCTATAAAAAACACATTTACAAAACGGCACAAAAATACACAAAGATGTTTATTATAGCATCATTTGTAATAAAAGAAAGTAGTGCAAACAATATCAATATCTACGAATAGCAAAGTGGTCAAAACATGATGGTACATTGATACAGTGGATTAGTTAGCAATTTAAAAAATGAGGAAGATTTATAGTTACTAACATGAAAAGGATAACACTGTTAATAGCAATACTCTGGTGAAGGGGGTATATTACATTTCAGTAATGCTTTTTTTCTTTTACATGAGCACATGCTGCTTTTGTAAGCAGAATGAGCAAAGAAATTAAAAATAAAATGCACTGGTATGTGTAATGGTCCTTGGAATCCCTTAGGGGCTACAGCCCTATTTTCCTCTTCTCTCTCCACATATACTAATGTGTGCATTCAAATACTCTGGTGCCCTCTCTGAGCAAGGAACTTACTAGGTTCTGGGTAATAAAGTCAGTGAAAGAGTCCCTACCCTCATGCAATGCCCTTTTGATAAAGCCAGGGTGGAAACAAGAACCGCTAGCTTATCCAGGAACTGGTTCAGGAATTTGAGAAAAGGTCCAAATCCTATGCCATGCCTGAGCATGAAAGAGTTGATGAAGAAAGACCTGAACCATTTTACAATTAACTTTCACGGACTTCTGTACAGTATGACCATCAAGCAGAAGTTACCAGTTTTTGACATAGCAGAAGCAACCAAATCCTTGATCATTATTCTCAAACAAGTGATAGAAGAGACAAAGAATACCAAAAACAGAAAGAAGCGCAGTCTGGCCCCAAATCCCACATGTTCATAAAAGAGAAGACCGAGAAGATCAAAGAGATTACCAAAAACATTCAACAGAGTAATTTTCAGAGCTTTGCTATAGCTTCTTTCATTTCCTCACAATTCTGCCCCTTTTTATTTCCAGCCCCTGCTCCCTAGAAAAACCTGCGGTGCATATTTATACTTTTAAAAACCACTTCTTTTCATTGAGGAAATTCTGAAGTAAACAGAAATCCAATAATTATTATCTTGGCAAAAGAAAAGGTGACTTCTATGTGATTTAAACATCCCTGCGTAATCAATTACTAATCCTCAGGATATAAAAGAAATGGTACAAGACTTACAATTTTTTTTAAAGTTACTTTAATCAGTGTTTCCATTTTATTCCTCAACTACTGGTTATCTTATTGTGCACCAATGAGAGCACAAAGGTTAGTATGGTCTTCTGCCACCTATCAGTTGAAATATTCCCAAAAGCCGTTCTTCAAAGTACCTCCCCACCTCCTCTGTAACTAACAATTCCTAAAGGCAATTTATCTCCTCTCCTGTAAGTTTTTCCACGGTCAATAACCTAAAATGTTTTAGTGTGGTGCACACCTACGCTGTGGTCCTGGTTTGCAGCTGTATAGCTCTGGCAAGTTTCAGTTTTGGTTTCTTTGTATACAAAAGATTAGGCTCTAAAATTCTATGTCACGGTTTAACCCTGATGCTCAATGAGGCAAATCCTACACACACAATAAGTGGTAAGCACGGTATTGCGTAAAGAGTAAACAGACCTGGATTCAAATTCCCTGACACCTGTGAGGTGTCTGGCATTGGGCAAGTTATTTAACCTTAGAGACCTTTCCTTATTTCCTTATTCTCTACCTATCATGACCAACAAAAGAATATAAATAATATAAAGGCACAGTATGCCTTCGATTTGTGATGAGTTCCCACTTACCAAGTTTTTACTCTTGATAGTTTCTGTATTTTAATACTTTTTTGATTGTTTCTAAACAATCTTCACTGACTAGACAGGAATTTATAACAAATTAGGAGGTGATTTCATTCAAAAACATTCATAACTACTTTGTAAGGATATGCAGGATGACAATTTAGAACTGGCAGAAAATGTATCCAGTGGCATACACAGCACAGCGCTAAGTTTATGTATCTCCTGTACCATACAAAACTGAAAGAGAACTTCAGCAAAAGTAAAGAACATTATCTTTCCACAATGTTCATGATTAAACAGAACATTAGCTACAAAAGAGCCTCTGTCATTTTGCCAGGGGATACTAAAATCTTGAATCCAGTGCTTCACTTCTTTACCACCTTTGCAGGTCTGAGTTCCAATTACTGCTAAGCATAATAAATAGAAGACGATATAATTAAGAGTAGAATTCACTCCAAAGAATGTGATATGTGCTTTTTTTCCCCAATGAAATTCCAAGACTTTCAGTTGAGGAAAGAAAGAAGGTAGAACACTCAAATTTACAATATGCTGAATGATCAAAAAGCAAAATCTTTGCATAAATCATGAAACACAGCCCAAACATGTAAACCCTCGGATAGAAAGTAGTCACAGACTTATTAACTGTAGCATCACACGCTGCTGCAAATATAACAATCCCATGCCTCTGATCTGTCAACTCAGACACTGCTCCCTATAAGAGGTATTCTTCTACTGAAAATTACAATCATCACACATCTAAAGATGGTGCAGGAAGCAGCATTATTCATTTCTGGTACTAGAAAAGCAGTGAACTTACTTTAGCTTGCTTATATTTAAAATTCTCTTTCGGCCTTAACACACAAGAACTTATTAAATAAACTTTTTAAAAAAATATAGCTATCTAAACGTGTGGATATATAAATTGGTCTCTTCTCCACATAAAAATAAAAACTTTAGCTATATTCTACTTTCTCCCTCCTAGGAGCCAGTGCCTCAAAGGCCCTCTAAATAAACTGCTCCAGCGTTTACTGTGTCACTTGGGTGAATAAATTCTTTCCTTAAATATGGAAAGAACTATGCAGTAATGATTCAAAGAGGCTATATTAATTGTAAAGCCAAATCACTGCCCTGCAAAGTCGATTACGACAGGTTCTCTTAGCTGAGTTTTTTAGAGCTACCAGCAAGAAGGCACAATCCGGAGCTGCGACGTTCCCGTGTCGCCGCTGGCTGGACCGATGGGTAAGCTGGAAAAGGTGATCGACATACCTGGAGGAAGCTGCAAATTAGCAGGCAACTGGATTGTTGTGGTGTTGGGGGCTTTCACAGCGACTATCTGAGGAGCAGGCAGCGGGGGGCCGCTGCTGAGTTTAGGAAGAGCACTGACAGGAGCCACTTTGGTCACCAGGGTCCCCACGGGGGACCGCAGGGGCTGGGACACCGTGGACTCCACGCAGACACTGACAGGAGCCTTAGTCACGGCGCCCAAGGCCACCGGGGTGCTCTCCACACGGACAGGCACAGTCCCAGCGGGGGCCATCGTCACGGTCCCGGAGGCGCTCACACCGGCGGGGGGGGCGGCGCCGGCCGGTTCCGTGAGGCCCGCGGGCATCCCCAGGTGGATCAGCGGCAGCTGCGACGCTGCCGTTCCGGGAGCAGAGGCGAGGGGAGGCTTGACAAGCGGCAGCCGACTCCAGAGCAGTTCCGGCTCCACAGCATCGCTAGGGAGAGGCGCAGGGGCCGCGACACAGAAGTCAGGGACGGGCGCCGGCTGCACACTGAGACCCGCGCGTCCCGGAACTCCCTCTGGTCCGTGCGGCCCCGGCTGCAGCGACACCGGCTCGGCCGCTCGCCGCTTCCTTAGCGGCGCTCACACGTGCGCCGGCTCAGCCGCGGAGCCCGGCTGCGGGGTTTCCGGAAGGGCGTCACTTCGGCTCCCACCACCCACCAAAACTCTGCGCCCTAGTTCCCCCGCCAGAAGTTTCAAAACTACAAACCCGAGCGCCCCAAAGCCCCCTACACACACTCAGCGTGGCCCCGCCGCACGGCCACGCCAGCCATGTTTATATAGCCACGCGGAGACCTCGCGCACGCGCACAGGCCGCCGCCGCCGCCCCGGGCTTCCCCCGGAATCCGGCCCTGTCATTGGCCACAGACTGGAATCGCGCTCGTGACGTCACTAGGGACGGCTCCAGAGGGCGTTAGAATCTTCCCCAGCATCAGGAAGAAGGAGGGTCAAGTTGCCAAAAACCTACCACGTGGGAGGGGCAGACCGCACTTGGAGAACTGCGACATTCGGGTTCCTCTCCTTGGTATCCCCAGTGGTATGTTCCTTTAAAATCCAGGAGTGTAATTTCCACACGCTTTTACTTTGAGGAAAAAATGGGGACTGGCTTCAGAGAATGGTAACTCAGTAAGACTTAATCACGCGTCCTCTTGTTTTTCTGCGAGCTTTGCCCTAAAGCGTCGCAAAATGAGCATTACAATGGACATGGTGAAAAAAAATGTCCATTTCTTTCTTTTAAATGTTTCAGAATGGCGTATAATTTTATAGCCTGTAAAATATGCCTATTTTCCTATGACTTTAGAGTTGAACTGCCCCAAGGGAAAATCGTTTTCTTCCATTGGGCGGCTATAGATATCTCTTGTCACCTCTAAACGTAAATTGTTTACATTTTGTATCTCCTTGAAAACTGGGACAGTGTCTTTTGATTCCTACATTCTCAGATTCTAGCAATTAGATTTTAACTGCAATCCTAAATATTATTTGAAAAAGTGAGAAGTGTTTGTTAAAGGAATCAGTTAAGTCCAATATACGGGAAAACTTGCTCCTTAGAGATCTAGTTAGAGAAGATGCCTTGATTTCAGGCTTTTGTCGGAAGATTATGTTTGTAGGAACCGACACTATAACTGAAGGAGATTTTGCAAGTGGGCAGGCAAGGTGATCTTTACAGCTGCTAGTTTTCTCCCTGCCTGTAAACTCCAATGGACAGGATCTACTCACAGCCCTCACACTTCACTACATTTGCTGTCTCTCCCATGTCAACCAGTCCAAATCAAGAAACCATCTTATGATTCAAATCATTTGCAACCTTCCCCATTCATGAAGACTAAATGATCACGTGGTCTCTAGAAAACAGTGGAGTTGGGGAGAGGGTAAATTTATGAAGGGCCCCTTGTGTGCTGGTCACTAAGAGGTATTTTGTTTTAACAGCCGTTTCACTGTATTGACTTAAAAACTGCAGTTAGAAGAGTAATTTTCCAAGGAACTGGGATCCAAAAGTCTGTATGAACCCAAAGTACATCTCTTTCCATTATCTCCACAAATGTGTAATTCATCATATATCCCATATGCCCCTGGCAAAATGCCTTGCATATAAAAGTGTTTAATAAATATTTGCTAGATGAATTAAATAGATCTATGCAACATTTTCAGTGAAGCAATAAGGTCTAGTGGTTTCGAATCTCAGATCTACTTTTTACTAGCTGGGCAAATTGTTTAGCCTTGTTTTTTTCTCCATGGAATGTAATTCAATAAATACTGGTAGATGGAAGGCTCAGAGTTTGCTCTGAGGACTCTCCCTTTCTAAACTTTCATTAGACCCCACCCCCAACTCACATACTTTGTTTAGACATGTAAATAACCTCAATCAAGTTACAAAGAGGGTTGGCTGAGGAAGTACAGCTTTCTCTTTAAAGTGACCTTGGACATTTTGTTCTAATTGTTTATGTTTGCTCTATTATTTGTCTCATTGATGGGAACTTTAATTTTCTAGTTGCAAAGAATATACTTTTTACCCAGCACAAGTAACTACTGTCCTGAATTTGGAGATTAGTAATAATTCTGTTTGCTACATTTCCTTTCTACAGAAACTTATACTAAAACAGGATATGTAGGGAAGCAAAATGCATTTTATCTCTCTATGTGAGAAAAGACAAAAATGCAGGGGAAGATTATACCTTGATTTTTATTATGTTTATCTGTTGAAATATTTGTAAAATTAAGGATGTTGAAAAATACTTATTTACCTTCGGTCTTTGTTCAGGCTGCTGTAACAAAATACCACAGACTGAGTGGTTTTTTAAAAATTGAATTGTAATTTACATACAATATTATATTAGTTTCAGGTGTATAACAGCAATTCAATATTTTTACACATTACGAAATGATCACCTTGAGAGGACTAGCTACTGTCACTATAAAGTTATTATAATATTAATGACTTTTCCCTATGCTGTATATTACATCCCCATGACTTATGATTTATTTATTTTGTAACTTGATGTTTATACCTCTTAATCTCCTTCTCCTAGTGGGGATTAGGTGATGGGTGGCTTATAAACAGCAGAAACTTATTGCTCACAGTTTGGAAACTGGAAATCTGAGATCGGGGTGTTGGAATGGTCAGGTGAGGGCTTTCTTCCAGATCACAGACTTCTCCACATGTCCTCAAATGACAGAAGGAATAAAGAATCTCTCTGGATCCTCTTTCATAAGGTACAGATCCCGTTCATGAGGGTCCCACCCTCATGATTTAAGCACCTCCCAAAGGCCCCACCTACTAATACCATCACATTTGGGAGTTGGGATTTCAACATATGAATTTTTGGAAGACACAAACATTCAGACCAGATAGGACCTTCTAAATGAGGGACATTAATTCATTAAGTCATTAATTGTCCAAATACTCTGCTCATCAACTCAGGTAATGGAATAAAACTGTGAACAAACACAGAATTTATATTTCCAAATTTTAGTATTTTACACACATACATGAACACACTTTAATTTGGGCAAAACCAAAGGCTAAGGATACAATTACCGGGTGGACAATGCAAATTACTCTTACTGTCCTTTTGATTTTCCATATGTCTACAGTCTCCTCAGAAAATGAATAGAAGTTTACTACTCTGTAGAATTTAAACAGGAAGCCTTCTTTATCTGTGAAATGAAATCAGCTGAAAACTCTGTCTGAGAAAACCTAACTATTTGGCTAAGATGGTTATGGCCTCAGCTTCAAATTGAGTCAGAAACCAATGGCCTCAAGCTCTATACCTTGAACCTGGTCCAGTATCTGTGCTTTTATATCAAAAGATTTAAATACTTTTCTGCTGTAGAACACATTCCTACAACACCATTCTGTCATTCCTGTCCTCTTAAAGGAATGCAGCTTAAAGTCTTAAGAAGTTTGACTTCATTAATGACTTCCATTTTTTTATGCCTTCACTAAAGGTTTAATGAAGTCTGAGACACTTTTAATGCTCCTACAAAAAGTGGATACGTCGGAAAGATCCTATCGTAAGAGATGCATCACACTATGGAATACGAATCAGCCACTCAGATTTATACTTGCAGAGGTACATTAATGGAAAAATGATTATGGTATATTGTTAAATGTAAAAAGGAGGTTATATAATAGTATAGAAAGAATGATTCCATTTTTTTGTAAACTAAAAGGAAAAAATTTAACCAAAAAGCAGGTAGATATATGCTCAGAAGAAAATCTAGGTTATACCCCAAACTGTTAGCAGAGGACATCTGTTTGGAGACATTCTAAGTGATCATTTCCTGTTTATATTTGTGTCTTTTCTAATATATTTACATAATCAAAAATTAACACAAGGTTTTTCTTAAAATATATAATCTTAACAACAACTGAAATCTTTTAAGTACAGCTGAGTATTCCCTGGTCTCCTCCCCATAGCACTCAGGAAACCATTGAATGTTATGAAGCTGGGAAACTATATTAACCTGCTTAAGCTATACCAGGCAGAAGCTTACGACAAACACTGCCCTAACCTAGCAAGATGGGTGTTTTCTAAAAGTGTGAATACTGCCTTCCTTTCATTTCATATTAAGTGTAGAAAAAGCAATGACTTACTCAGGAAGCCATAATCTCAGAAATAATCTTTTATTTTCTAGAAGATTCTGCAATCACAGAACTTTTTACTTGTATTGTTGATTTTAGCACTCATTTTCTTGAATTATATCTTCTTAGACGATCTTCCTCCCCACTCCCTTCAGTCATTCATTCATATAACCAGTGTTCTCCCCCAGTGTTCATTGTACGCTTCCTGTGTGCTTGGCAGTAGAGAATATATAAGTGAAAAAAAGAAAAGACAGAAATCCCTGTCCCTGTGAAGCATACATTCCAGTGGAAACAGACAAAATGAAAAAAAAAGTAAATTATAAAAATGTAAATAAAAAATTAAAAGGTAAATTATATGGTAGATTAGATGGTGATGCATGTCCTGCAAAAGGAAGTCAAACAAGAGCATAGAAAGTACTGTTGGTGATGGAAGAAGAAAGAAAGGGAAGGCAGCAAAATCACACTGGGCCTTGTGTAGGCCTGAGAAGGATTTTGCTTTTTACCCTGAGATGGAAAGGCATGGGGAGATCTTGAGCAGCAAAGTAACATTATCTGACTTATATTTTCAAAACTTCACTCTGACTGCTCTATGAATAGTCCAAGAGGGCTAACTGGATAGGGTAATTATAGGATAATATACCAGGATAATAATATAAAGATAATTGTAGAGAGACTACTTAAGGAAGCTACTAGAAAACCCAGGTGAGAGATGATGGTGGCTTAGACTAAGGTGGTATTGGGGTAAGTGGTAAAAAGTGGCCAAATTCTGGGAATATTTTGATGGTAGACCCAACAGGTTTTCCTGATGGAGTGAGTGTGAAGTATGAGAGAGGAGGTAAGGATGATTTAAAGGTTTCTGGCCAAGGCAAACTGGAAGCATAAGGGGCTGTTGATTGAAATAGGGATGACTACAGTGGTAATTGGGAAATCAGGTGCCCAATCTGGGTTATCTTTATTTTATTTTATTTTATTTTGTTTTGAGAGGGAGAGAAGGAGAGGGAGAAGGAGAGAAGGGGGGAGGGAGGGGGAGGGGCAGAGAGAGTATTATGTAGGGTTCAATCTTACAACCCTGAGATGATGACCTGAGCTGAATCAAGAGTTGGACGCTTAACCGACTGAGCCACCCAGGCGCCCCTGGGATATTTTAATTTGAAATGCGTATTATATATCCAAAGAAGGTTTGGGGTAGGCAACTGGGTATACAAACCCAGAGTTCAAGGAAGAGGTCCAAGCTGAATAAAAATATATTCACTGGCATATAGATGGTATTTTTAACATCCCTGGACTCATATGACCAAGGAGGAAGAAAGTATAAAGAAGAAGAGAAGAGGCCAGAGTCCTGGGTACTCTAATGCTAAAGGTTGGGTTGATGAAGAGGACCCAGCAACAAGAGATGGAGAATGAATTTCAATTTCCATTGATAAGAGGAAAATTAGGAGAGTAAGGAGTCCTGAAAGCCAAGAAATGGCCAAGTTTCAGATGAAGAGAGGGATCAACTGTGTCAAATGCCACTGATAGGTCAAGTAAAATGAGGACTGGTGATTGCCCAGTAAATACAGCAACACAATGTGAGGTCATTGGTAGCCTTGATAAGAGACGAGTCTCTGTGGAATGTGGAGATAAAAGCCTGATTGGAGTATTTTCAAGAAAGAATGGAAAGAAAGGATTTGAAGACTATGTGAAGTTTTGATGCAAAGTGGGGCAGGAAAATGGGGCAGTAGCTGGAGGGCATGAGGTCAAGGTAGAGGTTTTCTTTATGATAACATCATACTTATATGTTGATGGCAATGATCCAGTAGGGAGGGAAATTACTGATAGAGTAAAGAGGGGAGACTTGCTGAAGCCATGTCCTTGAAGGTAAAAAGGGATGGAATCTAGTGCACAAGTGGAGAACTTTAGCTTTTATAAGAGCAATAGACCATTCATCTATGGCAACAGAAGCCAACACAGAGTTCTTGGCCACAGACACTTGTAGGTAGATATTTGTGATGGTGGGAACTTGTGGAAATTCTCTTCTAATCTTTCTCCCTTCCTCCAACCCAATCCATGTCCCTTATAGTTTCTAGAACAATCTTCCTAAAATGCAAATCTACTTAGGTAGCTCCCACTTACAACTTTTTCACTCACAGGCTAAAATCTCAAACAGCTAGCATGGCATACAAGGTTCATTATGACCTGGCACCTGCTGGACTGCCCAAGCGATCTCTGCTATGTTCCTGTGGGCACCTTCCACTGGCACCATAGATAACTACAGAAATTCTGTAAATGTCCCAAAGTCTCTGTCAGCGTCATGCCTATTCATACATTGCTTCACCTCCCTTCGAAGACTTTCCCCATTTGAAACTCATGTTATACCTTACCAGTTCTTATTTGGCCTTCAAAAGGCTATAATCTACACTGGATGAATTTATCGCCTCTCCTTCTTCTCCCATGATATTTATTATATTATGGTCATTTCAGTTGTTTTTCTTGCCTATCCTATCTCATTAAATTGTGAATTTTCTTCATAGTTGAGGTCATGTTCACCTCAGAACCAGAAGAGAGAACCTAATACGTAAGTAGATACTTGACAAAGAGAGTACTTTTCTGACTCCTATCCTACTCCCAACCTCTAGACTGGCACCTAGGGGCAGGATTTTGTCTCGTCTTTGGATTCCTGGTACACATTGTATTATATGTAATACAATTCTCCATACAGTAATAGGAAGTTCGTATTTCAGCTTTCTGTTCTCAGTCTGTACTTTCTTTGGGTGATAACATTCACTTCCATGACTTAATTTCCATCTGTATGTTTATGACTTTTGGATCTATCTATCTTTGGCTCAGATTTCTCTTCTGGCCTCCAGTCTTTTTTTTTTTTTTTTAAAGATTTTATTTATTCATTTGAGAGAGAATGAGATAGAGAGAGCATGAGAGGGGGAGGGTCAGAGGGAGAAGCAGACTTCCTGCTGAGCAGGGAGCCCGATGCGGGACTCGATCCCCGGACTCCAGGATCATGATCTGAGCCGAAGGCAGTCGCTTAACCAACTGAGCCACCCAGGCGCCCCTGGCCTCCAGTCTTAATATAGACAGCCATCTACTATCTCCACCTGGATGTTTCACAGGCTCAAACTAAGTTTATAATCCTACCTTCAAGCCTGCTTTTTCTCCTATAATCCCTATCTCAGTGAGACAATCAGTGTCCTTCCAGTTGCCTAGGATGTAAAATTAGGAATTGACCTTGACTTTTCCCTCTCTTTCACCTGTTTCAGTGAGTCATAAGATCCTGGCAATCCTGGCAATCCTGGCATCATATCTATAATATAATACCTCTGGAATTCATCGACTCCTCTCATTCCACTGTCACTCTTAGTTCAAGCCCATGTATGCTCACTTAAATTATGCTAACTGCGCTCTCTGTATAACTCCAGACTGCTCCTCCTTTGTTCTATTCTCTGGTCTGCAATCAGAGAGATTTTTGTTCAAAATGTTCCTTTAAGCATTAACATTATAATTATTATCATCATTCTTTGGTTTAGGACTATTTTTCTTTCTTACTGAAAGGAACCTAAAAAAGAAAATAATTTCTATTTTTAACTATTTATAATTCCATCATTTCAGCTGAATTCTCATTTTTGTATATTACTTTCTAATCCTTGTCCATTATGCTTGCTATTATGTGAAGTATACATACGGTTTTCCCTATAATTTAGAATCAACTATACCTAAATAATTTTCCATGCCTAAACTAAACATTTAAATCAGGTCATGTGCATAATTTCGTACTTCTAAAGTGTCTTTATAATTATCATTTTATGCATAATATTTATTAAACAAGAACACATAATTGCATGTATAATTTTGAATTATGATGAAAGCTACAAAAGAAAAGAAGAAGGTACTTTGAAAGAAGATAATGGACAGGGTCTAATTTAGCTACGGAGTTAGGGAAGTGTTCCAGGAATTAAAAGAATGCCCGCAAGACTGGCAGAGAGTGAGCCAGAGGAAGAGTTTCCTGAATGAGACTGGAGAGTCAGAGCGGTCATATGATGTGCAAATGAAAGAAATGGAAATATTTTAAGCTGAGGAGTAAAATGAATTTATTCACATTTTAAACTTTTTATTTAGAAATAATTTCAAACTTAGAGAAGAGTTACAAGAAATGGCATTTATAATTCCCATATCCCCTTCATCCAGATTTATAAATTTTAACATTTTGATTTCTTTTATCAATTGCTCTTTCTCTGTGTGTGTACGCATTTATATACACACACACTCATCCTCATTACTCACAGATTCCGTGTTTGCAAATTTACCTACTTCATAAAACTTACATAAGTGGTGCTCTACAAATCAGTACTTAACAGTACTTTCGAGGCCTTTTACAGGCACATGCAGAGCAGCGAAAAATCTGAGTTGCCAAATACGCATGTTCCCAGATGAGGTCAAACAAGGTGGTGCTCTGCCTTCTTGTTTCAGCTCTCCTACTGTAACCAGTTCTCCTTTTTG